ATTTTCCCTGTAAAACAGGGACTTGAGCAACTTGGAGATGTGATGATGGGGGTTTGTCACAGAAAAAGCTGAGCTGTGCTACAACACTTCCCTTCCTTCCTTCTTTCTGGGGGAAGGAAGGTCTCTTTGGAGCTCAGGAACTACAGCCATGCCCAGAACATCCATTCCCCTCAAACCTGCCCAGCTGGGAGAGCACTCACAGGCTCTTCATGTCTTATGCAGTTGCACAGAGCACGCAAAGAGAGCTAAATTAAAAAAAAATATGGATATGGATCAAATCCATACTAAACAAACAAAAAGACACGAAACCCAATGCCTGATGCTCTTCCTTCCAAAGGCACAGCTGGCACAGAGCAGCCCAATGTCAGACTGAACTGCTCTGGCTCCAGTTGGAGCCACACCTCGGACCCAACGCTGGATCAGCAGCCTCGGGAAGGGCTCCAAGGAGCTCGACCTGCCCCCTGAGCCAGGGGAGCCGGAGCATTACCACGGCCCTGTGGAATGTATTGAACTGCTTTCCAAACACAGGGCTCTGCTCCCAGCCCTGGTGTTCCTGGAACCGGCTCCGGATTTTCATCCCCAAAGTCCTTCAGCCACAAAACCTCCCTTGGTAAGGAAGTGGCTGACACTGAAAGGAGCTGAAACCAGAGCGATAGCAAGAGTTCTCCAGTGCATCGAGTCACTTCTGCTGCAGAAAGGAGCAGCCAAAGGGATTACTCTTTTTTTTCCCCAGATCAAATCAAAAGATGCAGGAAAATCAATGAGAATTTTATGGTGTTAAATCAGCACCGTTTGCTCCGTGTTTAGTGGCTGGGTTGGCAAAGGGTCACGGTGCTCCAGGAGCTACGACGCTCTGAAATAACCAAGGACAGGGTTTGTAGGGAAAGATCAGATGTTTTTAGGAAGGACTAATAAAGCTGAATAAAACCAGGCAAATTTTAGGCTTATAAGCTTCAGGACATGAACTCAAATGTTGCACACAGTGGCTTTGAGCTTAAATTGGTCGTGTTGGTCAATCAGATGCTTTTGGTGAGGAGGTGGTTGAGGCTCTTGGAGCAGAAGGAAGCGTTGGCCGAGAGAGAGAGAGAGAGAGAGAGAGGGAATTATGTCAACAGCCTGGAGCTGCTGTGGTTGTAGCCCCTGCCATTGCCATGGATGTATCCTACTGAACCAGCTGAATCTCCAGCTGAAAGTGGCACTTGTGAGCTGCCCAGCCGTGGGAGGCTCCGGAGCGGAGCCGTCCCTGCAGATCCGATCTCTGTGTCAGGCCTGGAGCTCAGAGGCAGCTCCATGTTTGGGTTTCCATTCAGTATTCCTCGGCTTCAGTCTCCAAGGCTACAGGCCAACACACAACCCCTCCTCCCGCTCCTGTTTTCAAAGAAAGAAAAACACTGTGAAAAGAGGCTGCAACGATTTCTGGGCAGTTTTCAAAGCCGGAGGGCAGCGCTGGGAGCTGCTCTCCCCGCACACTCTGCAGGTTCTGCTCCAGCCAGGGCTGTGATTCTCCAGCTGCTCCATCCTCATCCGAGCAGGAAAGCACCTTGTCCCCTCTGCAAGAGCAGGGTGTGGAGAAGCGATTAAAAGTTTTTAAGGGAAAACTGGGAATTTTGGAGTAGTTAACTACCTGGGGCTTCATTCAAAACCTTTTGCAAATGCAGGTTTTGTTTGGGAATTCCATAGCGGGGAAGGAGCCGGGAGTCCTGCCCTGGGAGCCCACGTTGGCCACACTCCCTGCCTGAGGAGGGTGCAGGATTGCTGGCCCTCAGGTTGGTGGATGCTGTGGCAGGAGCACCTGCAAAGAAACCAGAGTCAAATATAATTATGTGGCTTCATTCCTGTCAGGAATGAGGATACGTCTCAAATTCTTTTTTTTTTTTTAATTTAGATTTTTGTTTGGAGCTTTTGCCCCAGGGCAATGTTACTGCACTCCCTCCATTGGCAGGTGCCAGCTTTGGGGTGCCCTCTCTGTGCAGAGGGTTTTTAGGGAGGTTACTCGTGGTGAACTTGGTCCAGAGTTTGATTTCCGTGCCTCACCATCCGCATTCCTGTGGGAAACGACCAACCTGCTGCAAACATCGACGGCGGGGGCTGGGCAGGAGGGTGGTGCTCCCTGAGCCCGCGGGGACAGGCTGGGACAGGAACGGTGCCCCGGGAGCGCCACAATCCACTGGATTTGGGGCAAATCCAGCAGCTCCGATGCAGCGGAGCGAGAAGTGGGATTTGTCTGAGGGCAGGGCTGTGGTGCAGGGGTTATTTTAATCCCGAGGTGACTCACGCTATCCCAGTGTGACTCACGTGGAGCTGGGGCCTGGGGCTAGTTAGAGGTGTGGCACAGCATGGCACAGGATGGCACAGCATTGCACACATGGCACAATGTGGCACAGCATGACACAGTGTGGCACAGCATGGCATGGCATGGCATGGCATGGCATGTTGGATCACCTCCTTCACACCGTGCTGGGCTTTCCTTCTCACACAGAAGGAGCAGAGCAGCTGCTCAGGGAACTGTTTCCCACCCCCTTCCCAGGTGCAGCATCACGACACCGATGTTTTATGGGAAAGTTTGATTTAAAATATTGTTTCCTAGCAGACAGACTTCCGTGTGTTGGAAAGGCAGCTCAGCAGTGTGCTGCTCATCCCTGACACTGGGGAGATGCTCACTTGCAGTTCAAGCCTTGTTGCAGGTGTACTTGGAGCCTCAGCTCCTGGTGCTGCAGGAGCTCATCCATCACAGGCAGGAAAATCCCTCTGGACTTGGTTTGCGATTGGCCCAGACCCTGCCCTGGGAATCAGCCCCTCCACGGCCTGAGCAGCCTGGAAAACATTGCTTTTTCAGGAGCGCTTTCCAACAAACAGCAAACCCTTCAGATTTCTTCTTGGCATCGACCAAAGCGTTTTTTTTTTTTTCAGTGATAGATTTTTCTCTGTTGAGATTCAGAGAAAGGCTGAAAGGCTGCTCCCGGTTCCAGGAATCCCGGCGAGCACAGGTCGTTCCCTGTCAGGACAATGCTGGGCAGGCACTGCCCGCGTCCCATCCCCGCCCGCCCCCCAGTCCTGGAGGCCCCGGGGGTGCCCTTTCCTGGCTGCAGCCACGAGTGAGATGAGGGGGACGGGCGGGGAGGTCCCGCGGGTGGCGGGGGGTGCCGGTGCCTCTCCACGGGCGGTGGGTGCGTGGCCGGCCCGGGGTGCCCGGTCCTGGCCCCGGCGGTGCCGCTTGCGGGGCACCGGGCGGGTCCGGGCGGGTCCGAACTGAGCCAAGCCGAGCCTCTTTGAGCCGAGCCGCACCGAGCCGAGCCGGGGTGCGTCCTGCCGGTCCGGTCCGTGCCGTGCCAGTCTGAGCCGTGTTTGCCGGTCGGTGCCGTGTTTGGCGGTTCGTGCCAGTCCGGTCCGAGTCGTGTCTGCCGGTCTGAGCCCTGTCTGCCGGTCCGAGCCCTGCCTGTGGGTGCCGGTCGGTGCCAGCTCGTGCCGTGCCGGACCGTGTTTGCGGTCTGATCCGTGCGGTGCCGATCGGTGCCGTGTTCTCCGGCCCGGCCCGTGCGGTGCCGGTCGGTGCCGCTCCGTGTGATGCCGGTCTGTGCGGTGCCGGTCCGCGCTCTCCTTGCCAGCCCGGTCCGTGCGGTGCCGGGCGGTGCCGCGGGGATGCGCTGCGCCGCGGTGGGACCGGACCCGTGGGAGGCGGCGGGGGCGGCCCCGCTAATTGCATAACCGGGACGTCAATGCCGGCGGGAGCGCGGGGTTAGCGCGGGAAGATGGCGCCCCGCGCCCGGCCCCCGCCGCGCCCCGCAGCCCCCCGGCCCCGCGCCCCGGCCGCCCGCTGAGCGCACCCCGCGGTAAGGGCGGCGGCGGGGCCGGGCGGGGGGCACCGGGCACCGGGCGGGACGGGCGCACGGACGGACGGACGGACGGGTGGGGAGGCGGGCGGGCGGACAGACGGCGCCGCGGCCGCCTTTGAATGAGCCAATGGCGGCGGGGCCGCGGCCGCCGCTCGGGGCTGCCCGCGGGGACCCTCGGCAGGTGCCGCCGGGGTACGGGGGGGACCCGCCCGGGAGCCTCCGGCCGCCGCTCGGTCCCGCTGCCCGCCCGGCACGGGGGCGGCGTGGGCGCTGCCACACACGCGTGTCCGCGGGCAGAGCGGGGGGAGCCTCGCGGGGAGCGGGGGCAGCCCCGGGACGGGAGCGGAGCCGCCGCCGTGCTCGGAGCCGCTCCCGCGCGGGGACCCGGCGCTGCCGCTGCCCGGACGGGTCGCGGCTCGTGGTGCGGCGCCGCTGCCCCGGGAGCGCGGGGCTCTGCCGGGACTGGGATCCCGCTGCCCATCCCGGGATGATCCCATCAAGGAACGGGAGGGTTCTCATGGATAGCAGGGTCCGCGCGGAGGGGGGTCGCGTGGAGGTCCGCGGCGCGAGGCCACGCGTGCTGCCACGAGGCCACGTGTGTGGCCGTGACGGGAGCGCGAAGGGGAGAAAAGTCCCTCTCCAGTCGTTTGCGTGGTGTCTGTTGGGATCGCAGCTCTGCTCCTTCACCTCCCGCACCCCAAACCTCGTGGTGGTGTCACTGGGCCACCTGGGTGGTGCTGGCACATCCCTGCTCCTGCAGCACTCCCGGTGGTTTGGGACCCCGCAAAACTGCTTGGAATTTGTGATTTAAAAATCACAGCGAATTTAAAACTTTTGTCCCTCACGTGCCCCTTCCCAAAACTGAGCCGTGTGTCCCGGTGCTGCCCGGCCGGGTGGCTCAGTGTTGTGGGAGATGGGGCTGTCGGGGGTTAATTCCCTGATTCCCTCTTGCTCACCAGTAGCAAAGATTTTGGTTGCTCCCTGGATTTCACGGAACGGTCTCATCGGCACTTGTTTTGGAGGTCCTGAGCCCCTGCTGGTGGGGCTGAAGCTGGGGCTTGGTCCTCTCAGGCAAAACTCTTAGGGATGCTGTGCCCGGCTGATGGGCTCGTTGTGTCGCATCACGAGGGCAGGTGACAGCTTGTGTGTCCCCTCCAGGTGCTGCTGATGGAGCCCGCCAAGCTCAGCCCCCTCATCCGGGATGTCTATGCGGCCTCTGGCCGCGTCCAGCAGGCTCCGGGTGCCGGCTCAGCGCGGAGGGGTAGCGGCTGCCGGGAGCTCATGGTCCGGCTGACGGAGGGGCAGTACGTGCTGTGCCGCTGGACCGACGGGCTCTACTACCTGGGCAAGATCAAGAGGGTAACGGGGGCACCCAGAGGGTAACGGGGGCACACAGAAGGTAACGGGAGCACCTGAAGTGGTGCCAGTGCCAGTCCCTGGGTCAGTTCGTGGCTCAAGGGGTTCTGGCTTAGGCTGCAACGTGCTCTTGGTCAGAGGAGCATTTTGGGTTGATGTCCTGCCCTGGGGTGTCACGCTCCAAACCTGACTTCCCACAGCCCCAAGAGACAGGAGCAGTCACCAGGGAAAACAGGGAAGTGCTGGGAATGGGAACTGAGACACGGTGGTTCTTCCTGCTCTTTCCTGCAGGTGAGTGGCTCCAAGCAGAGCTGCCTTGTCACATTTGAGGACAACTCCAAGTACTGGGTCCTCTGGAAGGACATCCAGCATGGTGAGTGTTGCCCCATCCTCCCTTCCCGCTGCCGTGCTGTGGGACCCTTCCCAGCACTGCGGGACGTGGCTGTGCCTCGTGCAGCTCCGACTCTGCCCTCCCTGTCCCACAGCCGGTGTCCCCGGGGAGGAGCCCAAGTGCAGCATCTGCCTGGGGAAGACGTCGGGCCCCAGGAACGAAATCCTCATCTGCGGGAAGTGCGGGCTGGGTGAGTGTGGGCACATCACCCCGGGCTCTGCCCTGTCCCACCCTGGGGGGGGTGTCCAGCCCTGTGGCACTGACACCGAGCCCTCCTGCAGGGTATCACCAGCAGTGCCACATCCCGGTGGCGAGCGGCAGCGAGGGCCCGCTGGGCACGCCGTGGTTCTGCCGCCGCTGCATCTTCGCCCTGGCCGTGCGGGTGAGCGGGGCTGCCCTGGGCTGGGGGGGCACAGCGGGGCAGGGTGTGTCTGTGCTGACCCCATCCCGCTCGATCCCACAGAAGGGGGGTGCCCTGAAGAAGGGAGCCATTGCCAGGACACTGCAAGCTGTGAAGATGGTGCTGTCCTACAACCCCGAGCTGCTGGAGTGGGACTCCCCTCACCGGACCAACCAGCAGCAGTGCTACTGCTACTGCGGGGGCCCCGGAGAGTAAGCCCCTGCCTGCCTGCCACGATTGGTTTTGTGGGGAAAAGATGAGGGTGGGGATATTTTACCCAAGAGAGAAGCCCCCAGCTTGCAGGGCACTGCCCTGGGCCAGCAGCTTTGCTGCCTGTGCTGCCTCTGCCATCCGGGTCTCCGCTCGCTCCAGAAGAACTGTCTGCACCCACCCCTGGGGCTTCAGGAAATACAAGTTAGGGACTGACTTCCTCTCCCTGGCTGCAGGGTCTGTGCCTGGAAGGGGGCTGGGGTGGTGGCTGCCACATGCTGCCCTCACTGTCACCTTCCTCCTGTCCCCAGGTGGTACCTGAAGATGCTGCAGTGCTACCGCTGCCGGCAGTGGTTCCATGAAGCCTGTACCCAGTGCCTCAGTGACCCCATGATGTTCGGAGACCGGTACGTCCCCTTTGGCTTTAGAGGGGGGACACATCCCCAGCTGTATCTCCCTGATCCACCTGGCACTGACATGGATGGTGGCGGGCAAGTGGCCCTGTCCTGCAGAGCCCCACTCCCAGCTGTGCTGTCACTGTTGGCACCCAGAGCACTGTCCCACCCTGACCCATCCCCAGGCCCTGCGTGGCTGTGGCAGTGACTTCCACTCCCAGCACTCTCTCTCCCTGCTGTTTTCCAGGTTCTACGTGTTTTTCTGCTCTGTGTGTAACCAGGGACCTGAGTACATCAAGCGCCTGCCCTTGAGATGGTAAGAAACAGGCCCTGGCTCCTCTGGGATGTGCCAGGGTGGCCATGGGGCAGTGGGCTGGCTGATGAACACCCTGGAGGTGTTCAGGACCAGGCTGGATGGGCCTGAGAGCACCCTGGTCTAGTGGGAGGTGTCCCTGCCCATGGCAGGGAGTTGGAACTGGATGATCTTTAAGATCCCTTCCAACCCAAACCATTCTAGGATTCTATATTTGGGGTTCCCCCCAGCTGCAGGCAGTGTACCCCCCCTCCCTGAAGCTCCAGGGATGCTGTCTTGGCTGTGGCATCCCCCAGGATGCACCTCTGGACTGGGTTGCTTCCCCTGTGAGGTGTGGGAATGGTCCCAGGTTCCAGCAGTGGGTTTTGGGAAAACCTGGGAGCCTGAGTAGCACTGGTAGAACAGGGAATCACGGTGGGTACTGTCCTGTGGGGAGAGGGTGGGCTGCTGACCCTCTGCCCCCCTTGGCTGCAGGGTGGATGTCGTCCATCTCGCCCTCTACAACCTGGGTGTGCAGAGCAAGAAGAAGTACTTTGACTTTGAGGAGATTTTGGCCTTCGTGAACCACCACTGGGATCCGCTGCAGCTCGGGAAGGTACAAACACACAGTGGCAGAGCAGAGTGTCCCAGAGGGCAGTGTCTGTGGTGGAGGGTGGGACTCCTGAGCTGGGCAGAGCCGAGGGCCTTTTCCTGGGGCTGAAGTGGGCAGGGGGTGAAGAGTGGGAAGGGACATGCCCATGTGTTGGCAGTGCCACTGTGCCAGCAGCCCCATGCTACTGAGCTTGGGCACCTCTGCCAAAACCCAGCTCCTTCAGCACTTGGGATGGGTGGTTCCTGCTCCAAATGAGCTTAATCACCTTCCTCTGGGCTGGGATTGCCCTTGTTGGGGTGTCAGAGCTGACACGTTTCCTAGTTGGAGCCGAGCCAGGAGGAGCACGAACACTGAGGCGTGTTGGGAGCCTGTGCCTGCAGTGGGATGGGTCGGCTCCCTGGAGGTGCCAAACCCAGGCAGCTCTGGGCCTTGGCATCCTTCCCTGCCTGGCCTTGGGCAGGAGCTGAAACCCGGAGTTTGGGTTCCCCCATCTGTTTGGATTTTGTATAACCCCAGAGGGTGCCAAGCCCTCCTGACCCCCCTCTCCCACAGCTCACGGGCACCCCCATCTCAGAGCGCGGCCCCCACCTCCTCAACGCCCTCAACAGCTACAAGAGCAGGTGAGTCCCGGGCGAGGGGACAGGCTGGGATGCAGGATACAGGATGCTCCTGTGCCCCCCCCCGGCTAAGGGCTGTTCCCTCCCCTCTAGGTTTCTGTGTGGGAAGGAGATCAAAAAGAAGAAATGCATCTTCCGCCTGCGGATCCGCGTCCCACCGAACCCCCCCACCAAGGTGCTGCCGGAGAAGGGCCCCGGCGAGGGCGAGGGCGGCTCCTGCGAGCTGAAGAAGAGGGGGAAAAGCAGATGTGTCCACAAGGACGGGTGAGTGGCCACGTGTGCCCGGGCACCCCCTGCAGCAGTGCCCCGTGCCCGCTGCCCCCTCACGCCCCTCTCTGCAGGCTCCTGCCACGGCAGCTGCAGCAGCACAAGCGGCGAGCGGCGAAACGCAAGAGGGCCAAGTTCCTGCTGGAGGACGCCATTCCCAGCGTGAGTCCTTCCCCCCCTCCTCTGTGCAACTGTCCTGGGATTTGACAGATGAGTGGGATCCCTGCAGCCCTGTCCTGAGGCTCCCTGCAAGATTTCCCCACTCCTGCGGGCAGGGAGAGCCCCTGTCGCTCCCCCTGGGAAGTTGGCTTGGCACGGAACGCTTTCTGGGGTGGCAGGGGCATGGGCAGGAGGGTAGTGGTGCCAATGTGGAGGGCACGGGCAGCACCCCTCTACCAGGCAGTGACAAGTGAGCTTGTTTTTGTGACACAGAGTGACTTCACCTCTGCCTGGAGCACCAACCACCACCTGGCCAGCATCTTTGACTTCACGCTGGATGAGATCCAGAGCCTGAAAAGGTCCGTGGAGCTGGGCTGGGGGTGTGGGGGGCCAGGGGTGCTGCTTGTGCCAGGCTGGGGCTGACGCTGCATCCCATCCTATCCCATCCCATCCCCAGTGCCAGCTCAGGACAGACATTCCTATCAGACGTGGACTCCACAGATGCCGCCAGCACCTCAGGCTCGGCCACCACGAGCCTCTCCTATGAGTCCAGGTGAGGGCTGTGCCCTTTGCCCCCTCTCAGAGGGGTCCCAGTGGCATGGCCAGGAGGGTGAGGGGCTGCCCTCTCCCCCCACAGCACCCTTGTGTCCTGGCACAGGGATGTCCCATGTCAGGCAGCCTTTGCTCCCTGTGTCCCAAACCAGGCTGGTGGTCCCAGAGCGGCCCTGCTTTGCTGGGTGTGCGGGGTCAGGGCCCTCAATCCTCGCTGGGCTCCCTCAAATTCCCGGCACGGTGTGGGGCACCTTTTGGGTGCCGCCCTCACCCTGCTCTGTCCCTCCCTGGCAGCCAGAGGACCGTGGGCAGCCGCAAGCGCAAACTGGCAGCTCCGGCGTACGGCTCGGCGGGGGCGAAGCGCAGGGGAGGGGACGGGGGCGGGCGCCCGGCCCTGGGCACCCCCGAGGGCAGCGAGGCCCCGGGCGGCCCCGAGCGCCCCGACGACGGCATCGACAGCCACACCTTCGAGAGCATCAGCGAGGACGACTCGTCGCTCTCCCACCTCAAGTCCTCCATCAGCAGCTACTTCGGGGCCGCGGGCCGGCTGGTCTGCGGGGAGAAGTACCAGGTGCTGGCACGGCGGGTGACGCTGGAGGGGAAGGTGCAGTACCTGGTGGAGTGGGAAGGCACGACCCCCTACTGAGCCCTGCCAGCCCTGAGACCTCTCCCGGAGCCAAGCCAGAGGAGATCAGGGTGATGGGGAAGCCCTGGCCTCGAGGCAGAGGAGGGTGCTGGTCCCCCCCGCCGGGAGCCTCTGCGGGTGGAGGCCGTGCCCACACCGGGGCACCGCCAGTGGTGCTGCCCAGGAATGGAACCTGAAGCCTTGACGCTCTTTTATTTTTTTTTTTTTTTTTTTTAATTTTAACAATTTTTAGTTTCTTGGCCAGTTTTTTTCCTGGCTGTGAGTGTGGCCCAGCCACACTCTCCTGGTGGTGGAGCCTTTGGCTGAGCCCAAGGTACCATCGTGGTGGTGGTAAGAGCAGTGGGTGGCTCTGGCCCCTCCAGAAGGGTCCCCCTGGCACAGCTGGGGAAGCCACTTTGGGGGACACCCCACAACCTGCTCGCACAGATGGACGTCAAAGCCTGACTTATCCCTGCATCCCAGCCTTACAGAGCAGCCTCGAGGGGGTCCTGGTGCCAAAGCACAAAGCCCCCCCTCACCCCAGTGCTTTCACAGCCCCTCACTGTGCCTACAGGAAATGGGGGGCGACCCTTGGGATTTTCTGCCTCATCCTAAATCCATTCATTAAAGGAATATGGTTGGTTTTAAATGAGGGGACTAAACAGCCCACGTGTAGCTTTCATGCCCACAGGGCAGGCATAGGTGGCTGCTCTCATCTCACAACCTGGACTGCCTGTGATGCTGCACCAGCTTCATTTCCCTGTTCTGACAATCATGATCCTGGAAGAGATTGGCCAAAAGATCCTCCTTAGCCTTAAAGCCACCATGGGCACTTCACAGACTGGAGCCCGAGGCCTTTGTTCTCGCAGGAGCCTTCACCTTGAATGTGCCAAACCAGCAGACAAACCAAAAAGGCTGAAGAGGACAGTGGGGACATGTGGAGGGGGTTGTGCCAGTGCCTCACTGGAGAGCAGTTGATGTTTGTGAACAGGTGGGGTTGATTTGTCTGCAGGAGACAAGGAACAGTCCCCTTCTTTAACAAAGCAATACTGCCAGGTTGGGCAGGAGCAGAGCAGTTGGCTTTTTAAAAAAGATTCTAATATCAGATATATTTGTTAGATTTTTTTTTCTTAAGAGATATATATATATTTTTAATGTTGTCCTCCTCGTCTCTCCCCCATCCCACCATGCCTGTCCCATGGGATGGAGGGTGGGTGATGCTGGGTGGGCTGGGTGGTCTTGCTCCATGAGCAGATCCTGTCCTGCAGCCCCATCACTGTCCATACCTGTGCTTGTGGGATCTGCTGACCCAAGGGTGAGTTGAAAAGGTTGTTTTACTGAAAAATATGTAAAAAAATTCCCCAGTGTAGTTGGCATGAGAGGCCAAGTGGCCTTTGCAAACCAGAGGCCAAAGTGTGGGCCTTAAAAGTAAACTTCTGCTGCAACTACTGCTGAAATAACATAGTGGGATACCCATGCTGTGGTGCAGCAGCTTCTCTGCAGCCTGGGATGTGGTTTGGGCCAGGCAGGAGCTGGTTCAGTGCCTGGAGAAGGAGCCTGAGTATCTGGCTCTGGGTCAAAGGATTGTCACTCCTTCCTCGGGGCTGCCCAGTGCCCTGTGCTGTGCTTGGGGGAGAAGCTGTTGGCCCCTTGTGCAGGGACAGGTTTGGGAGAGAAGGCTCTGTGCAGCTCCCAGCCATGGGATGGTTTGGGCTGAGGGGTCAGATGGGCCTTGGGGAGCAGAGCTTGGCACTCTCAGGGTCTGCATCCCGGCTCATCCAGAGGGGAGCATCTCCGGAGGGACCCCGTCCTTTAGGGATATGTTGCCAGGACCTCCATCCCTGGCAGGGAGGGGTCCAGCAGCTGGATCACGCCCGGTCCTGCCTTGGCTTTGTCACCAAAGGATCACTTAAAATATTTCCCTTCCTCGAGTGCCTCTGGAGCCCTGTGCCTGTGGAGCCCCTGCCAAGGGCTGTGCCAGGGCCGAGCAGGGTCATTCCTGTGGGATGTGCCAATGGACATCACAGTCATGGCAGCACCCACAAGATGTGGCTCTGGTTCCTCTCTGTTCCCTCTCATTTCCTCCTGGCTTCTTGCAGAGAATTGAATGTGGAGCCTTTAAAAGTATTTTTGTTGCAGAGTATATTTTGCATTCGCTGTAATAGAGATTATAACGACTCTGTGCACCTTCTGATTTCTGAGTTCAGGTTGCTGCTTGTAATAACCAACTCTTGTTATACCCAAGTTGTAATT